CTGTCTCATGTCCTTACTCCATTCTCTCCTACCCTCAATCATATCCACGTCTACACTTGGTTTCGGAAACAGCCACGGAGCAACGTTCCCCAATGCAATTGCCGGCCCTATCTCTCTCTCTCCCCAAATCCATATTGTACCACTTTCTGCGCAATTGTCCACTTCTCGCTCCCAACATTCCCCAGTTGCTGTTACTGCAGAATGTCCTTCTGAACTCCCGTTCAACCTTGCCCAGTACGCTAATGCAAGTTTGTACCACCTTATCCTCAGTGGCAGTTCCCCACTATCCAGGTAGCTTAGTGGTTAAGAGCGTTGTACCAGTAACCGAAAGGTCGCTGGTTCTAATACCCGAGCCGACTAGGTGAAAAATCTGTCGATGTGCCCTTGAGCAAGGCACTTAACCCTAATTGCTCCTGTAAGTCGCTCTGGATAAGAGCGTCTGCTAAATTACCAATTTATTTAATTATCCACCTGCAATGCATCAACAGGTGTCATCCTGAATGCACCCACACACAATCTCAGGGCCCTTGACTGTATTCTATCCAGGCGCTGTAGTACCGTTCTGGCTGCCGATCCATATACAAAGCACCCATAATCCAAAGATGACCTGATCAATGCCTGATAAATACACAACAGTTTGTCTATCCAACCCCCAATCATATCCTGCCACTGCCCTCATGAGGTTCAGCACCTTCCTACACTTAATTTCAATATACTCAACATGTCTCTTACACGTAAGCCTCTTATCAAACCACATACCTAAATACTTCAACTTAGATACCTATATCCTGGCTGTATATTTGCAGCCTAACATCTTTAACCTTCCTCCTAGAAAACACCATAAAGCAGGACTTGGCCACAGACATCCTAAACCCCCATGTTAGAAACCAATCTTTCACAACTCCCACAGCTTCTTGCATCTTCCTCATCACATATTTCACATTCCCACCACAGCCCCATCATCAGCATACAAGACCACACCCACTCCCTGTTCCACCTTCTTAAAAATGTAATCTATCATCAGGGTGTACAACACCGGACTAACCACACTTCCCTGAGGAGTACCATTGTCCACTTCAAACCACATTGACAATTCTGACCCCACCCTCACCCGTATGACCCGATCGAACAGGAAGTCCATGATCCAGTTATACAGACGTCCCCCAATGCCCAATGTACTCAACTTGATCAGCAACCCTTCCCTCCACATGGTATCGTAAGCTTTCTCAATGTCAAAACTTGTTCATCTTTCAATCACCCACTTAGGTATATGCTTGTAAATAACCAATGAGTAGATGGGAGAGGTGGGACTTTCAGCTCGTCAAGTGTCTAAAATAGAACCAAGTCCTATTTTGGTGCCTGGCTACGCAGATGCCCGTTGACGCGTGTGATCAGTTTGGACAAAATGATTGAACATGTATACTGAACAAAAATGTAAACACAACATGCAACAATTTCAAAGATTTTACTGAGTTACATTTCATATGAGGAAATCAGTCAATTGAAATAAATTCATTAGGCCCTAATATATGGATTTCACATGACTGGGAATACAGATATGCATCTGTTGGTCACAGATACCTTAAAAGAAATGGGCCTCACAATGGGCCTCAGGTACTCGTCAAGGTATTTCTGTGCATTCAAATTGCCATCGATAAAATGCAATTGTGTTCGTTTTCCGTAGCTTATGCCTGCCCATACCATAACCCCACCACCACCATGGGGCGCTCTGTTCACAACGTTGACATCAGCAAACCACTCGCCCACACAACGCCATACACATGATCTGCGGTTGTGATGCCGGTTGGACATACTGCCAAATTCTCTAAAATGTAGTTGGAGGCGGCTTATGGTAGAGAAATGAACAATAAATTATCTGGCAACAGCACTGGTGGACATTCCTGCAGTCAGCATGCCAATTGGTTCAAAGGAGAAATGCTCACTAACAGGGATGTAAACACATTTGTGCACAACATTTTAGAGAAATACGCTTTTATGGACAATTTCTGGGATCTTTTATTTCAGCTCATGAATCATGGGACCAACACTTTACATGTTACGTTTATATTTTTCAGTAAATGTGTACATTTATTTTGCAACACTCGCGCACGCAACATGGGCGATTTGGTCAGCAATTACGCTGTTATTTCTCTGCAAGTAAACTAGCATATGATTTTATGTAATGGACTGGGTTTACATGGCAATGTCTTATAATTATACAAGACCTGCAGTTTGGTTGTTATTTGTGTGTGAATAATTAAGATGCAAGACTGAGGCATACAAGTTGAAACAATTATTTTATTTCATAATAACATTGAAATTACTCATTTTCCACTCATATTCTCATTCAATCCTGTTACTCTTCAATCTTTATTTGTGTGACTAAGTGTCACAGTCAATTAATTTGGTTGTATATCCTACTGAGATACAGACAGATTATGGTGACTCTCCCTATATGCTTGTGTAGCCAGTTCATTTATCAGATGCAAGTGAAATGACAGCATACATTTCACAAAACACTGTCCTCTGACCTTACAGCTACAGACATGTCACCAATACCAGGATTTTCTATATGCTCTATATTCTTTGCCATTACTTTGACTTCTAGAAACTACCATGGGATAACACAAAATTATGCTACTCCCTAACTGAATATTTCCTGACAAGCAATATCAATGATCACATAATTCTCATCTGAATACTTTTATATGAAGAATCTTAGTATTTTATCCCAGGTACATACAGAGGTAACCTGGTCCCCAGGCTCGAATTGCTGGCATCTCGACAGAGCGAGAGCAGCCGGCTGGGGGGCGAGATTAATACAGAGGTAAAGTGCAAGAATTCTAATACTGCAAGGCACAAACTATTAATACAAGGATTGTCTCTGTCTAATAGTAAAAACAATTACGAACACAAACATAATCAAGTACAAAATGTTTTTTTCATACATAGATATTACAAGTAAAACCTGAACAAGTAAAACCTTGCCTACACTTTACAATAACCTGTAACATATACCATACATTATTTTCTGCATTACATACATCAAAAATCACAGCAGGTATGTACAGGGAAAACAAGCCATTACAAACATACATTCTATGTCTGGATAAATGTATATAAATAATCATCATAATAACCATTATAATAATGTAATATCATTCCAATCTTATTATTCAATCTAATAAAGATGCAGGTCATTAAGGTTTGAATAGCAAATTTTTCTTACAGGGCACAACTGAGCTGAAAGATCAGTAGTGACAAAATGTCTCAGCCTTTATTGCACACGCTCCTTCAGAAACGAATAGCCATTTCGTTGAATGTAAAACCATTTGTTGTTGAAGCCATGCAAAATATTGCACAACAGAGAGGCTTTGGTTTGGAATATCTACACAGAAAGTACAGTAGTAAAAGATGAACCTAAAATATAAATAATATACACTGCTCAAAATCTTTTAGGAAACACTTAAACAACACAATGTAACTCCAAGTCAATCACACTTCTGTGAAATCAAACTGTCCACTTAGGAAGCAACACTGATTGACAATACATTTCACATGCTGTTGTGCAAATGGAATAGACAACAGGTGGAAATTATAGGCAATTAGCAAGACACCCCCAATAAAGGACTGGTTTTGCAGGTGGTGACCACAGACCACTTCTCAGTTCCTATGCTTCCTGGCTGATGTTTTGATCACTTTTGAATGCTGGCGGTGCTTTCACTCTAGTGGTAGCATGAGACGGAGTCTACAACCCACACACGTGGCTCAGGTAGTGCAGCTCATCCAGGATGGCACATCAATGCGAGCTGTGGCAAGAAGGTTTGCTGTGTCTGTCAGCGTAGTGTCCAGAGCATAGAGGCGCTACCAGGAGACAGGCCAGTACATCAGGAGACGTGGAGGAGGCCATAGGAGGGCAACATCCCAGCAGCAGGACTGCTACCTCCGCCTTTGTGCAAGGAGGAGCAGGAGGAGCACTGCCAGAGCCCTGCAAAATGACCTCCAGCAGACCACAAATGTGCATGTGTCTGCTCAAACGGTCAGAAACAGACTCCATGAGGGTGGTATGAGGGCCCAACGTCCACAGGTGGGGGTTGTGCTTACAGCCCAACACCGTGCAGGACGTTTGGCGTTTGCCAGAGAACACCAAGATTGGCAAATTCGCCACTGGCGCCCTGTGCTCTTCACAGATGAAAGCAGGTTCACACTGAGCACGTGACAGAGTCTGGAGACACAGTGGAGAACGTTCTGCTGCCTGCAACATCCTCCAGCATGACCGGTTTGGCGGTGGGTCAGTCATGGTGTGGGGTTGCATTTCTTTGGGGGGCCACACAGCCCTCCATGTGCTCGCCAGAGGTAGCCTGACTGCCATTAGGTACCGAGATGAGATCCTCAGACCCCTTGTGAGACCATATGCTGGTGCGGTTGGCCCTGGGTTCCTCCTAATGCAAGACAATGCTAGACCTCATGTGGCTGGAGTGTGTCAGCAGTTCCTGCAAGAGGAAGGCATTGATGCTATGGACTGGCCCGCCCGTTCCCCAGACCTGAATCCAATTGAGCACATCTGGGACATCATGTCTCGCTCCATCCACCAACGACACGTTGCACCACAGACTGTCCAGGAGTTGGCGGATGCTTTAGTCCAGGTCTGGGAGGAGATCCCTCAGGAGACCATCCGCTACCTCATCAGGAGCATGCCCAGGCGTTGTAGGGAGGTCATACAGGCACGTGGAGGCCACACACACTACTGAGCCTCATTTTGACTTGTTTTAAGGACATTACATCAAAGTTGGATCAGCCTGTAGTGTGGTTTTCCACTTCAATTTTGAGGGTGACTCCAAATCCAGACCTCCATGGGTTGATACATTTGATTTCCATAGATAATTTTTTGTGTGATTCTGTTGTCAGCACATTCAACTATGTAAAGAAAAAAGTATTTAATAAGAATATTTCATTCATTCAGATCTAGGATGTGTTATTTTAGTGTTCCCTTTATTTTTTTGAGCAGTGTATTTTCAGAAGTAAATGTACAACAGGTAACACTAGGTGGGACTGAGGATTGTGGTCTGGGATACAAAGGGGGCACATAATAAAAGCATAACGCTGTTGTGCATGCCAGGGTATATTGTAACTTCAACTGATCCTGTCTCTGTCTCTGAGCCTCTTTTATACAGTAAATGGAACATCAACAATAACCTATGTTTGAGTCGGGATTGGTAGCTTGCCAAACTATCAACATTTGCTCTCCTCCATGACAAGTAGACAATCGCAGGGTTTCCCAAACTCGGTCCTCGGGAACCCAAGGGGTGCACGTTTTGGTTTTTGCCCTAGCACTACACAGCTGATTCAATTAATCAACTAATCATCAAGCTTTGATCATTTGAATCAGCTGTGTAGTGTTAGGGCAAAAACCAAAACGTGCACCCCTTGGGAAACGGTGAGACAACGCATTCAGTGGAACAGAACAGCTAATGTAGGGTTTCCCAAACTCTGTCCTCGGGACCCCAAGGTGTGCACGTTTTGGTATTTGCCCTAACACTACAAAGCTGATTCAAATAATCAACTAATTATCAAGCTTTGATCATCTGAATCAGCTGAATAGTGTTAGGGCAAAAAACAAAACGTGCTCCCCTTTGGTTCCCAAGTTCGGGAAACGCAGAGCTAAGGTGACTCTATTAAATGTATTGAATGAATGTCATAGACCACAGGAATGTCACAAAACAGGAGATCCCCTAGACATGACCACAGTCTGCATTATCCAATGCGCCTCTTTGATGATGTTAAAGTCCATAACGCCTAGTGCTGCCTGCCTGCCCCCTCCCTGTGCTGCTACATGATAGGGGGCAGACACTTGGATGACACCTGGCACCCTCCGTCGGTGCCCACATCTAGCTGAGGCTTGATGATGATGTGCACGGGCCTCTCCCCGCCCGCCTCATGATTGGTGTCCCTGTTGACCTTGGCCACGCCCTCACACAACTGCTCCTCTGCTGATGCTCCAATGGGACGCAGTCGCTCAGCGGTCACCATCTTGCGCCCTGCCTTGGCGGAGAGCTCTCTCTTCAGCTTGTTGTTGCTATCGGACCCAATCCTCTCAGCTGCAATGTAAAATGGGAGGACATGGTATTTCACACATACAAAATTATGTGGTTTAATCCATAAATTGATCTTTCACATTGTGAAAATTGATTTTAGAGAAAGAAAGCAAGCGAGAGGCCTGGTCTTACCTGTCCTGTTAGTGACTACTTTGCGGTAAGTGGCCTCGTAGTTGTTTTCTGTGCTGCTCACGCTTTCACTGGGCTTCCTCATCATGGGTCGTGTTTTGGGCCTGAGCTTGTTGAGATGGGCCTCCTGGATCCACTCATGCTGCATCGCCTCATCTGGTGTCATACGCTTGGTTGGATCCCACCTAGATAGCACAGGAATACACAGTAAGTGTGTGTGGAGAAGATTGAGCTAACTACCAGAAATCTCATGACAACAGTAATTCCGCTATTCATGACCCTGTCACCATAGCGTAATAATCCTGTGCTGAATGCTAGATTTCTAGTGTGTTGGTGTTGACATACGTGAGGCAGCGTCGAATGAAGTCCAGGAACAGAGGATCGTTGGTCTTCAACACACTGGCTAGGTCTTTGGAGTTGGGTCGCCTTTTCTTCCCTTTGCTGTTTGTGATGTTTCTGGGGTTTCCTTTGGAGTCTGCAACAAGTCGGCAGCCCAATTCAGATTTTTTTTCTCACTAATTGGTCTTTTGACCAATCAGATCAGAAAAATATCAGTGAAAAGATCTGAAGCCTATCTAAACGCAGCCTACCTTATTTATCTGATATAAAGAAACACATTTGTACTGTACAAACCATAGAAAGTTCTTACCGAAAAACAATCTTTTCCTGGATGCTGTCTGCACAAAATCATTGGGAGGCATTCCGAATACCTAAGAAATAAAATAACAGAATGTCCTTGAATGGTGATGGATAAATGGATTGCTAAAAACATCCAACACCAGATACTCCAATTGGCTAGCGCTGAGCTCTGAGACTATGTCTGCAGGTGGTTGGTTGTGTACCTCCATGATGCAGGCGATCTGCTCCACCTCGCTCTCCCCAGGGAAGAGCGGGAAGCCGGTGTAGAGCTCAGCCATGATGCAGCCCAAGCTCCACATGTCGATGGCCATGCTGTAGGTGTGTCCCAGTATCACCTCTGGGGAGCGGTAGAAACGACTCTGGATGTAGGTGTAGACTACAATGGCAGGCAAGGAGAGAGAGAGTGCGAGAACGGCGTTTATGTTAACATTCGGTTACTGTATATGAGTGCGATGGCTTTGGAGCTTTAAATATTTACATTTACATTTTAAATATCAGACCTGTACCATGTATAACAGGTATTTAATCAGGTGAGACATTCACCTCTCTGCTGCTCATAACAGCTGGACCCAAAGTCCACCACCTTGATATTTCCTTGTCCTTTCTGAGACAGAAGGATGTTCTCCTTTTGTGAAAAAAGAGAAGCAATGTTAATTTTCCAAGTAACCAATCAAAGTGCAGCCCACTCATTTTCTTTATAGAGCCCTAGCATATACATGCATTAGCATGTCTGACTTATCAGTTAAATATTATTTGTGTTATTACTATATGCAGTGCCGATACAGTATGTCTGAGGAACCTTACTGGTTTGAGGTCACAGTGAATGATCTTCTCCTTATGCAGCATCTGCAGGCACTTGAGCAGGGAGTGGGTGAAACGACGGATCAAGGCCAGACTGAAGCCCTGGAAGTTGTTCTTCTTGATCAGCTCATAAAGGTTGACTCTATAAGAAGTCAAAGACACAATCATTTAGAGAACTGGTAGAATGATAAACACAGCTTTCTGCCACCAGTCTCAGTCTCTCTGCTTTCTCTTTTTCCCACACTTGCACGTGGACTCAAATGTTATAGTTTATTAGTCCTCCAGAGGGCAGCACTATACTGTGTTTTTTTCATGGCATAGCTCAGTCGAATCTAGCAGGACCATGCAGTTTAGTAATACGATTTTAAAACGGAAGTGAACATGCTATATCAGATTACTTAACATTCTAGAATGTCTTAACATTAAGAAGAGAGACTTAAGAAGATGTATATTCCTGGTATTATTCAGTACTTATGGGAAGCACAAACTTCTCTGGTCAGTGTAACCGGAACCTTCACACCACGAGCAGGCAGAGGAAAGAGATAGGGCCCTAATCAAGGCATTAACTAAGGGATTGGGTGACGGTAATGCTAGATAGGGCAAGGTGGCAGTCTAAGACGTCTACTAAAGGTCAGCCAGCCTGGTATAGAACGGTTGTTCCATTAAATGAGGGCCTTTTACGTCCCTTTGATATTTTAGGTTGAAATTGTGCACAAATATTGCATTTTAAAAGACTGTTATATTAAATGAAGTGCCCTTTAATATAGACCACATGGAAAATTAAATAAATCAGATTGTTTATATGAATAAAGGCTTGCTAAAGTGCCCAAATACAGCATTTTGACATGTCCCTCTGTGTACCTCTGTGACCTCTAGGAAGATTTTAACCCACCCACTTAACCCCAACATTTCTACAAGTTTTCACCATCATTGTAAAGCCCTCATTATTTTGTTGCTTTGACAAAGTCATTTCTGAGCATTATTATTTATTTAATGTGATTAGTGATTCATTTTAAGGTAAAATAAAAACCTGTCTCTCATTTTAAGGTCAACCCTTAAAATAAGGTAAACAGAACTCTTGTTTGAATATGGTAAAACTATTCCTTTTTAAATAATTACACTATTCAAAAAGGTACTCAATTGGTGGAATGACCCAGAAGACTATCTTGTCTCAGAGAGAACCTAAGGCTAGGTTGTTTAAGGCAGATTGTTCTAGGTGGGCTGCTCACTTTACTCAAGTAGTGTAGCAGATGGAGTGACTAGTGATAAGCGAGCTGTGTATGTGATAGGGGAGTTCAGGGCTTAAGTCTTGTTGTTGTACCTCGGGAGAGGTGCCTAACCTTGAATACCTTTGATTAACACATTAATTATTCAGGATTTCATTTAACTTCTACTGGGACTATTTTGATTGTATGTGCGTGTGTGCAGTGCTTTCGGAAAGTATTCAGACCCCTTGACTTTTTCCACACTTTGTTACGTTACAGCCTTACTCTAAAATGGATTAAATGATTTCCCCCCCCTCATCAATCTACACACAATACCCCATAATGACAAAGCAAAAACAGATTTTTTAGACATTTTTGCAAATTTATAAAAAATAGAAAACAGAAATATCACATTTACATAAGTATTCAGACCCTTTACTCAGTACTTTGTTGAAGGACCTTTGGCAGCGATTACAGCCTCTAGTCTTCTTGGATATGACACTACAAGCTTGGCACACCTGTATTTGGGGAGTTTCTCCCATTCTTCTCTGCAGATCCTCTCAAGCTCTGTCAGGTTGGATGGGGAGCATCACTGCACTTCTCAGGTCTCTCCAGAGATGTTAGATCGGGTTCAAGTCCGGGCTCTGGTTGGGCCACCCAAGGACATTCAGAGACTTGGTCCTCTGTAGCTCAGCTGGTAGAGCACGGCGCTTGTAACGCCAAGGTAGTGGGTTCGATCCCCGGGACCACCCATACACAAAAATGTATGCACGCATGACTGTAAGTCGCTTTGGATAAAAGCGTCTGCTAAATGGCATATTATTTTTTATTATTAAGCCACTCCTGTGTCGTCTTGGCTGTGTTCTTAGGGTCGTTGTCCTGTTGGAAGGTGAACCTTCTCCCCAGTCTGAGGTCCTGAGTGCTCTGGAGCAGGTTTTCATCAAGGATCTCTCTGTACTTTGCTTCATTAATCTTTCCCTCGATCCTGACTAGTCTCCCAGTCCCTGCCATTGAAAAACATCCCCGCAGCATGATGCTGCCACCACCATGCTTCACCGTAGGGATGGTGCCAGGTTTCCTCCAGACATGACACTTGGCATTCAGGCCAAAGAGTTCAATCTTGGTTTCATCAGACCAGAGAATCTTGTTTCTCATGGTCTGAGAGTCTTTAGGTGCCTTTTGGCAAACTCCAAGCGGGCTGTCATATACCTTTTCCTGAGGAGTGGCTTCCATCTGGCTCCTCTACTATAAAGGCCTGATTGGTGGAGTGCTGCAGAGATGGTTGTCCTTCTGCAAGGTTCTCCCATTTCCACAGAGGAACTCTGGAGCTCTGTCAGAGTGAGCATTGGGTTCTTGGTCACCTACCTGACCAAGGCCCTTCTCCCCCTATTGCTCAGTTTGGCCCAGTGGCCAGCTTTAGGAAGAGTCTTGGTGGTTCCAAACTTCTTCCATTTAAGAATGATGGAGGCCACTGTGTTCTTGGGGACCTTCAATGCTGCATACATTTTTTGGTACCCTTCCCCAGATCTGTGCCTCAAAGCTCTACGGACGATTCCTTCGATCTCATGGCTTGGTTTTTGCTCTGACATGCACTGTCAACTGTGGGACCTTATATAGACAGGTGTGTGCCTTTCCAAATCATGTCCAATCAATTGAATTTACCACAGGTGGACTCCAATCAAGTTGTAGAAACATCTCAAGGATGATCAATGGAAACAGGATGCACCTGAGCTCAATTTCGAGTATCATAGAAAAGGGTCTGAATACCTATGTAAATAAGGTATTTCAGTTTTTTACTTTTAATTACATTTACAAAAATTACCTGTTTTCGCTTTGTCATCATGGGGTATTGTGTGTAGATTGATGAGGACCATTTAAAAATATATATATTTTAGAATAAGGCTGTAACGTTACAAAATGTGGAAAAAGTCAAGGGGTCTGAATACTTTCCGAATGCACTGTGTGTGTCAGGGCTGGGGTCAATTATAATTGAAGGCAGTCAATTCAAGAAGTAATTTTTATTAAAAATTCAAAAATGGAAAACGTTTGAAATAAATAGCTTCTACTTCTCAGTTGATTGATAAGTCATAGAAAATAGATGCCCTTTATTAAAATGTTGAATTGTAATTAAAGTTTACTTTCTGAATTGACCCCGGCCCTGGTGTGTGTGTATGTCTGTGATGGCTTTAATCACAGCCTAATTCCAGGTGTCTTATAGTAGTGTTATACACACTACACTCACCCTAGCAGCTCGAAGGAGATGCAGAGATGGTTGCGGAAGTAAAAGTATTCCTTCATATGGATGACATTGTGGCAGTTTTCCCTGTCTTTCCTCCTCACAGCATCCAGGATCTTTAGTTCCACTAGGGCCTGGTGGTGAAACCTGAAGTCCAATAAGAGTTAGTTAGGTCACAGCTCCATTCTGGATTTAACCATTCAAAACAGTCTGAAAGCCAAAAACTATAATACAGTCGTGGTCAAAAGTTTTGAGAATGACACAAGTATTGGTCTTCACAAAGTTCGCTGCTTCAGTGTTATGAGATATTTTTGTCAGATGTTACTATGGTATACTGAAGTATAATTACAAGCATTCCATAAGTGTCAAATACTTTTATTGACAATTACATTAAGTTTATGCAAAGAGTCAATATTTGCAGTGTTGACCCTTCTTTTTCAAGACCTCTGCAATCCGCCCTGGAATGCTGTCAATTAACTTCTGGGCCACATCCTGACTGATGGCAGCCCATTCTTGCATAATCAATGCTTGGAGTTTGTCAGAATTTGTGGGGTTTTGTTTGTCCACCTGCCTCTTGAGGATTGACCACAAGTTCTCAATGGGATTAAGGTCTGGGGAGTTTCTTGGCCATAGACCCAAAATGTCAATGTTTTGTTCCCCGAGCCACTTAGTTATCACTTTTGCCTTATGGCAAGGTGCTCCATCATGCTGGAAAAGGCATTGGTCGTCACCAAACTGTTCTTGGATGGTTGCTCTCGGAGGATGTGTTGGTACCATTCTTTATTCATGACTGTGTTCTTAGGCAAAATTGTGAGTGAGCCCACTCCCTTGGCTGAGAAGCAACCCCACACATGAATGGTCTCAGGATGCTTTACTGTTGGCATGACACAGGACTGATGGTAGCGCTCACCTTTTCTTCTCCGGACAAGGTGTTTTCCGGATGCCCCAAACAATCGGAAAGGGGATTCATTAGAGAAAATGACTTTACCCCAGTCCTCAGCAGTCCAATCCCTGTACCTTTTGCACAATATCAGTCTGTACCTGATGTTTTTCCTGGAGAGAAGTGGCTTCTTTGCTGCCCTTCTTGACACCAGGCCATCCTCCAAAAGTCTTCGCCTCACTGTGCGTGCAGATGCACTCACACCTGCCTGCTGCCATTCCTGAGAAAGCTCTGCACTGGTGGTGCCCCGATCCCGCAGCTGAATCAACTTTAGGAGACGGTCCTGGCGCTTGCTGGACTTTCTTGGGCGCCCTGACGCCTTCTTCACAACAATTGAACCTCTCTCCTTGAAGTTCTTGATGATCAGATAAATGGTTGATTTAGGTGCAATCTTACTAGCAGCAATATCCTTGCCTGTGAAGCCCTTTTTGTGCAAAGCAATGATGACGGCACGTGTTTCCTTGCAGGTAAGCATGGTTAACAGAGGAAGAACAATGATTTCAAGCACCACCCTCCTTTTAAAGCTTCCAGTCTGTTATTCTAACTCAATCAGCATGACAGAGTGATCTCCAGCCTTGTCCTCGTCAACACTCTCACCTGTGTTAACGAGAGAATCACTGACATGATGGCAGCTGGTCCTTTTGTGGCAGGGCTGAAATGCAGTGGAAATGTTTTTTTGGGGATTAAGTTCATTTCCATGGCAAAGAGGGACTTTGCAATTAATTGCAATTTATCTGATCACACTTCATAACATTCTGGAGTATATGCAAATTGCCATCATCAAAACTGAGGCAGCAGACTTATAAAATTAGTATTTGTGTCATTCTCAAAACTTTTGACCACGACTGTATAATATGAATCATAGTGACAGATTTTTACTGACAAGCTTTAGTTTTGTAGTGACCATGGAAAATCTTCTTGCTAATATTTTTCCATTCCAGTTGTAATGTCTTTTGATGTGAGAAATGATGACAGCTGTAAAGAAGGGAAAGCACCTCTCCTCTTCCAGAAGAAACATCATTTTTGAGAGAGGGCTTAGTTCAAGACAAGGCCCCAGTGGCGAGACCAAGGCAGCCCTTAGGCGTTAGGCACCCATTTTGTTTTCTGCATTATTGAAGGGCAGTAAGCACTGATGGCATCTGCATCAATCAAAGTCAAAGAGGAGAAGGGGGAGTTCCATTGATACACAGAGAGCCTTGGATCCCCTGAGAGAGGACTGGTAAAGCAATACTGAGGAGCCTCCTTTGGACCTCCCCATGAAAAGGTCACGAAGAGGTCCATGTTTAATGACTTCACACAGGAAGGTCAGTTTCAGGGCATGTAGCAAAATATTTTGTTTGTACCTTTTTTTGTTGCGAATGACCTTGATGGCAACCAGTTCTTGGGTCTTGTGGTCCAGACATTTCAGGACCTGTCCAAAGGATCCTTTCCCGATTACCTCCAACACCTCGAAGCGGAAGCCAATGTGGTCGTGTAGAACCTGGATACGAGACAATATGGACAATATTCATTGTATGTACTTAACTAGTAGTTCATGATACAATGACATCCTTTAATGATGGTTGTTTGTAATGACTACATAAGGCACATTTGCCCAACTACTTCCAGTGCCAAACACTAGTTCATAATAGTACTTCTGTGTTGCGTTCCATTTAGTTATTTAGCTGTGCATCGGTCATGACTTAACCTGTGTGACCTAGAGGTTACCATGAATGGGGGCATAAGGTCATGAGTCTAAACAATGCTCACAGTCAGTCTCCCTGTGACAGCACATCCATACAGGTTGGAATAAGACACAAACTGCCTGTGGATAGTCAGTTAGGCTCACATCGCAGTTTGGCTAGCGTGCATTAAACTGCTTTTCTTGTGCCTTAACATAAGCTCATAGCATAATGTCTTGTAAATAAACAAAAACCCTCCTACATCTTACCCCAAGGAACCACAATAATATTTATTAATTTTTGATTTAACCTTTATTTTGACAGGGAGTCATGCTGAGACCAAGGTCTCTTTCACATATGGGCCCTGTATGCACATCAAACAAATAAATATACACTATGCACATCAATATACACATCAATATACACATTAATATTCACTTCAATACACAAAAAGCAAAACACAATCATAGAAAACAAACACATGCTTATGAGAAACGTATATTCAAATCCTTGATGAAACTTTACGTTGTTGTAGCTGCCGTGCTCGTCGTCGTAGCCTGCGTTCTGAGGAATCCCATGAGAGCCCTCAATCTTCTTGGTCTCCAGACCCAGAAACCAGATCTCTGAGTAGTCCATGATCTCCTCCTGCTCAAACTCTGTCAGACGCCCCTGGAAGTGCCTCAGTGCCTCTGTGGGAGACATGGGCAGCCTCTGTCCCTCATAGAGCTTCTTCTCCTCCAGCTTGTTGCTGAGGCCCTTGGTGGTGATGGAGTCATACAGGTTCTCCACGGAGGAGCCGAACCGTGTGGGGAACTGGGAGGAAGGCTTTGGTCTCTCATCCTGCCAATCACAAAAGGACAGAAGAGGTCAGCTGATCTGTTCTCACAACACTTTGGCACTATCACTTAGCGTAACCCTGATGAAACAGGTCTCACTTTCTTTTACATTTACAGTGGGGAAAAAAAGTAATTAGTCAGCCACCAATTGTGCAAGTTCTCCCACTTAAAAAGATGAGAGAGGCCTATAATTTTCACTTGTTATCAGTATAAAAGACACCTGTCCACAACCTCAAACAGTCACACTCCAAACTCCACTATGGCCAAGACCAAAGAGCTGTCAAAGGACACCAGAAACAAAATTGTAGACCTGCACCAGGCTGGGAAGACTGAATCTGCAATAGGTAAGCAGCTTGGTTTGAAGAAATCAACTGTGGGAGCAATTATTAGGAAATGGAAGACATACAAGACCACTGATAATCTCCCTCGATCTGGGGCTCCACGCAAGATCTCACCCCGTGGGGTCAAAATGATCACAAGATCGGTGAGCAAAAATCCCAGAACCACACGGGGGGACCTAGTGAATGACCTGCAGAGAGCTGGGACCAAAGTAACAAAGCCTACCATCAGTAACACACTACGCCGCCAGGGACTCAAATCCTGCAGTGCCAGACGTGTCCCCCTGCTTAAGCCAGTACATGTCCAGGCCCGTCTGAAGTTTGCTAGAGTGCATTTGGATGATCCAGAAGAGGATTGGGAGAATGTCATATGGTCAGATGAAACCAAAATGGAACTTTTTGGTAAAAACTCAACTCGCCGTGTTTGGAGGACAAAGAATGATGAGTTGCATCCAAAGAACACCATACCTACTGTGAAGCATGGGGGTGGAAACATCATGCTTTGGGGCTGTTTTTCTGCAAAGGGACCAGGACGACTGATCCGTGTAAAGAAAAGAATGAATGGGGCCATGTATCGTGAGATTTTGAGTGAAAACCTCCTTCCATCAGCAAGGGCATTGAAGATGAAACGTGGCTGGGTCTTTCAGCATGACAATGATCCCAAACAGACCGCCCGGGCAATGAAGGAGTGGCTTCGTAAGAAGCATTTCAAGGTCCTGGAGTGGCCTAGCCAGTCTCCAGATCTCAACCCCATAGAAAATCTTTGGAGGGAGTTGAAAGTCTGTGTTGCCCAGCGACAGCCCCAAAACATCACTGCTCTAGAGGAGATCTGCATGGAGGAATGGGCCAAAATACCAGCAACAGTGTGTGAAAACCTTGTGAAGACTTACAGAAAACGTTTGACCTGTGTCATTGCCAACAAAGGGTATATAACAAAGTATTGAGAAACTTTTGTTATTGACCAAATACTTATTTTCCACCATAATTTGCAAATAAATTCATGAAAAATCCTACAATGTGATTTTCTGGATTTCTTTTTCTCATTTTGTCTGTCATAGTTGACGTGTACCTATGATGAAAATTACAGGCCTCTCTCATATTTTTAAGTGGGAGAACTTGCACAATTGGTGGCTGACTAAATACTTTTTTCCCCCACTGTACGTTGGGAGCGATACATGTCAGATACAGCTCAGAGCACAGGAGGTTAGTGGCACCTTAATTGGGGAGAATGGGCTCGTGGTAATGGCTGGAGCAGAATCAGTGGAATGGTATCAAATACATCAAACACATGGTTTTCATGTGTTTGATACCATTCCATTTGCTCTGTTCCGGCCATTATTATGAGCTGTTCTCCCCTCAGCAGCCTCCTGTGGTGAGGAGGGTTCATCTGAAGATGTATAAACTATCAAGGACTTATTATTTACATGTGCATTTACAATTGACAACTGGAGTCCAGTGAACTACTGTTGGAGGCCAACAGTATAGTGTGACAGTGTGAAATGTAGCCTCACCTGGTGTGTCTGGTAGCTGTTCGGCAGCCCCTTGTTGGCGATGTGGGGCAGGATGCTATCGGACTGCTGGTGGTGGAGTTTGGCATTGCTGACAACCACCTGTATCACCGGGGGCTCCAGTTGGGGCAAGGTCCCTACGTCCGAGTTAAACTTCTACAGGAGAGAGAAAAGGGTTCAAATAAAGGAAGGTTTAAATATGCAGATGAAAACAGTAAAAGTGTAATAACATATTGTATCGACATAACTAGTCTTGCTTGCCAGACTCATGGCGCGCTAACCCCAGTTGTGTCAGAGTTACAGCAGCTGTGGGAAGAGACTCTGTGATCACATACTCTATGGCGAAGGTTTGGAGAGTTGGCGCAAAAATAAAGGGATGGAGAGATGGAGAGAGCGCTACATCCGCTCTGACCATTCTAAATGTGGTGGCTCAGGTAACCAAGACCCCCTGAGTTGAGGGTGGAATTACTGAGCAGGGTAAGAGTGAGTCGGGGACAAAACATCGGAGACTGGTCCCTGACAGACCCTGTCAGCGTTATCTGCTGCTGTGGGGGAGCTGAACTGGAGCAGGCCTTTCTCTAGCTGACATCCTGCTTGCTGTAGGAGCACGTTTACATGTGTCACTGGCTGCCTTGCAAGCATAGCCAAGCTAATGATGGGGGAAAGGAGACCTCTAACCTAGACTACAACAAGGGCAGGGATCATGAGTTTATTCAGCAAATCGTTGAAATTGTAAATGCCAGTAACATATTTAATTACTTCCTACACGGTAATGACACTGTATCTGCCTGTATAAATAATGTAAATACATTGGTATTATTAGGGGCAGTTATTGTAAATTGGAACCAGTAGTTCTATACCCCTTTTCTTCGGTTACAGCAAGCACAGCAGCCCAAAACAGCAGGTTGAAAAGTGCACACTAATCTATACATAGCGGTGATATTTAATCACATGTGCACAGGCTGTTGCAGTAGCTGCCAACTTGGTTATGATGCATAGACACAGGCTAAATATAGTTCCAAGCACCTGCCATAACAAGCACATGGATGCAAATACAGTATTGTGCTTATGCACAACTGGATTCAAGCTGATTACGTAGGCTACTACTCTGTGTTCTTAAACACATCCAGGTCTGACAGTGAGCAGCACCATGATTTCACCCCTTGGGAGTGGTTAGGAGGTGGTTGCTCCATTTACTCCATGTACTCCAGTGCCCTCCAATAGCATGACCTAGCTAGGGTAATGAGTTTTGGTGGAGTGAAGGGGGAGGGCACTGCACAGACAGAAAGATACAGGATTGAAAGAGTGGGTCTGCAGGGGCTTAAATGCTCTGCAGGTCAGGGGTCACCTGTGAGTAAAGGCTCACCTGTAAATAGGGCCGGTTGGTTGCCTGTTGGGTCTGGAGTCTGTGTGAGTGGGAGAAGGCCTCTGGTTTTGAAGACTGTGGAGGAGAGGAATATGGGAGATTTGACTTAACATTAGATTTATACACAAAACTCGCTTCTCTATACCTATTTAAGTCAGTGAGGGGGTGGCGTTGGATGCAGCAGACTCATAACAAGTCATTGAGGTCATTCATCTGAATTATAAATCACGTATTTTTAGTAACCGAAACTGATTAACTTCAAAGCATCTCTGTGAATGAGGAGAATAAACAGCCTGGTTGTTGCTGGTGGGAGTTTCAGTCTCAGCACAGCGGTGGGTCCCACAGATATAAACAGCCAGTGGGCAGTGAAGCAAGATTATTACCACGCAAGCAAAGATGATGCACACTCCCTGAAATTAGAGTATTTTTTGCAAGTAGCTACCACAGTAACATTGGTCTCTTTATCACTCAGTTTTTCCACAACCTGCATTCCTTTACTGGAGCATAGGCTTGTTAACCCTCTGATGTTCTATGAAGAGTGTAAGGGAGTGGTGATGATGGTGGTAATGGAGAGGAGAGCAAAGGGCTGTTTTAGCCTAGCACCAGAGAGATCATTGACTTCATTTCACAAAGCACAATTCAGTCTAGTGCCAGGTTATATGGGGCCATATGAGCCATTGAGATTCTATTCGTTCTGGTGCAACTGCCGCATTGTCAGAATAGCTGTGCTAACACGTGCCTTAATCAGAGGGGAGCATGTCAATTAACAGTGTGTTGAGAGACTGAGAGACACTGTATTGGTGGAATAAAACCTCCAGCCCAGATGGGCACAGGCTAAACTCAGAGAGCCTGAGAGGGCTGCGCAACGGTTGGCTGGGTACTTGGGTAGCAGAGCAGAGCAGATTTACAATGAACTTGACCAAGACCTACAGTAACACTATACTTTTTCACGAGTTCACTAAATAGACATCTCTTCTATCCATATGCTTAATATTCTTTATTTACTGACAAATTGCCTCTTACTGACCCAGATGGGTTCCTTTGCAAGAATATGACAGTATTTTGATTCCCATGCACACCCAGCGCCACGTATAAAAGTATATATGGCTTGGTATTATGTTGGGATTTAAAGTAGTAGGACACCAGTGCCCACCTTGGATTGCCTATGTTTGGAATCTGAGTTAGAGGAAGAATTCAGACCCCTGGATTTTTCCCACATTTTGTTACGTTACAGCCTGTCACGGGGGTCTATGTCGTCTAAATATGACCAAGGCGCAGCGTGTCCAAGAAACATGACTTTATTATATCAAAGTCTGGAACAAAACAACAAAACAAGACCGATACGTGAAGTCCTCTGCAACACTGACAGAACTTGGAACAAAAACCCACAAGTCCCACAGGAAAACATTCAGAATAAATATGGCTCCCAATCAGAGATAACGAGCCGACAGCTGACACTCGTTACCTCCGATTGGGAGTCATTGACCAAACCTAGAAATACAACCACAGAACTGCAAACATAGAAATACAAAACCAAAACCCAACAAAACAAAATACACCCTGGCTCAAATACAAAAGTCCCAGAGCCAGAGTGTCACAGTACCCCCCCCCTAAAGGTGCGCACTCCGGGCGCACCAGCATACCGTCTAGGGGAGGGTCTGGGTGGGCGTCTGTCCACGGTGGCGGTTCTGGCCCTGGTCGTGGTCCCCACCCCACCTTAGTCACTATCCGCTTCCGTAGCCTCCTCCACATGACCACCCCCCAACTAAACCCCACTGGATTAAGGGGCGGCACCGGACTAAAGGGCAGCACCGGACTAAGGGGCAGCACCGGACTAAGGGGCAGTACCGGATTAAGGGGCAGCACCAGGATAAGGGGCAGCACCGGGCTAAGGGACAGCACCGGACTCAATGGCAGATCCTGGCTGGCTGGCTCTGGCGGGTCCTGGCTGGACGGCTCTGGCGGATCCTGGCTGGACGGCTCTGGCGGATCCTGGCTGGACGGCTCATGGCTGGCTGAAGGATCTGGCTGCTCATGGCTGGCTGACGGATCTGGCTGCTCATGGCTGGCTGACGGATCTGGCTGCTCATGGCTGGCCGACGGATCTGGCTGCTCATGGCTGGCCGACGGATCTGGCTGCTCATGGCTGGCTGACGGATCTGGCTGCTCATGGCTGGCTGACGGATCTGGCTGCTCATGGCTGGCAGAAGGCTCTGGCTGATCCTGTCTGGCGGAAGGCTCTGGCTGATCCTGTCTGGCGGAAGGCTCTAGCGGCTCCGGTCTGGCGGACGGCTCTGAAGGCTCATGGCAGAGGGCGCTTAAGCGCCTTGGCAGACGGGCAGTTCAGGGCCCGTTGGGCAGACGGCAGACTCTGGCCGTCTGAGGCGCAACCGTAGGCCTGGTTCGTGGTGCCGGAACTGGAGGTACCGGGCTGAGACACGCATCTCAGGGCTAGTGCGGGGAGAAGCAACAGGTATGCTGGACCGGGGACGCACATAACGCCTAGTGCGGAGAGCGGAACAGGGCATGCTGGCCTGGGGACTCAATAACGCCTAGTGCGGAGAGCGCAAAGACGCACAGGACTCGGGGACACAATGGAAGAAGTTTGGAACCACCAAGACTCTTCATAGATGGGTTGGAGAGAAGGGCCTTGTCAATTAGGCAACAACAGTTTCAAGCAGACCACCTAGTCCCCGTGCCCAAGAACTCTAAGATAACCTGCCTAAATGACTACCGACCCGTGGCACTGACGTCTGTAGCCATGAAGTGCTTTGAAAGACTGGTCATGGCTCACATCAACAGCATAATCCCAGAAACCCTAGACCCACTCCAATTTGCATACCGCCCCAACAGATCCACAGATGATGCAATCTCTATCGCACTCCACACTGCCCTTTCCCACCTGGACAAGAGGAACACCTACGTGAGAATGCTATTCATTGACTACAGCTCAGCATTCAACACCATAGTGCCCTCAAAGCTCATCACTAAGCTAAGGATCCTGGGACTAAACACCTCCCTCTGCAACTGGATCCTGGACTTCCTGACGGGCCGCCCCCAGGTGGTAAGGGTAGGTAACAACACATCTGCCACACTGATCCTCAACACGGGGGCCCCTCAGGGGTGCGTGCTCAGTCCCCTCCTGTACTCTCTGTTCACCCATGACTGCATGGCCAGGCACGACTCCAACACCATCATTAAGTTTGCCGACGACACAACAGTGGTAGGCCTGATCACCGACAACGATGAGACAGCCTATAGGGAGGAGGTCAGAGATCTGGCCGTGTGGTGCCAGGACAACAACCTCTCCCTCAACGTGACCAAGACAAAGGAGATGATTGTGGACTACAGGAAAAAAAAGAGGACTGAGCACGCCCCCATTCTCATCGACGGGGCTGTAGTGGAACAGGTTGAGAGCTTCAAGTTCCTTGGTGTCCACATCACCAACGAACTATCATGGTCCAAACACACCAAGACAGTCGTGAAGAGGGCACGACAAAGCCTATTCCCCCTCAGGAGACTAAAAAGATTTGGCATGGGTCCTCAGATCCTCAAAAAATTCTACAGCTGCACCATCGAGAGCATCCTGACTGGTTGCATCACCGCCTGGTATGGCAACTGCTTGGCCTCTGACCGCAAGGCACTACAGAGGGTAGTGCGTACGGCCCAGTACATCACTGGGGCAAAGCTCCCTGCCATCCAGGACCTCTATACCAGGCGGTGTCAGAGGAAGGCCCTCAAAATTGTCAAAGACTCCAGTCACCCTAGTCATAGACTGTTCTCTCTGCTACCGCACGGCAAGCGGTACCGGAGTGCCAAGTCTAGGTCCAAAAGACTTCTCAACAGCTTCTACCCCCAAGCCATAAGACTCCTGAACAGCTAATCATGGCTACCCGGACTATTTGCACTGCCCCCCCACCCCATCCTTTTTACGCTGCTGCTACTCTGTTAAGTATTTATGCATAGTCACTTTAACTCTACCCACATGTACATATTACCTCAACTAGCCGGTGCCCCCGCACATTGACTATGCAACGGTACCCCCCTGTATATATAGCCTCCCTACTGTCACTTTATTCTATTGTATATATAGCCTCCCTACTGTCACTTTATTTTTTACTTCTGCTCTTTTTTTCTCAACACTTTTTTGTTGTTGTTTTATTCTTACTTTTTTGTTTAAAATAAATGCACTGTTGGTTAAGGGCTGTAAGTAAGCATTTCACTGTAATGTCTGCACCTGTTGTATTCGGCGCATGTGACCAATAAAATTTGATTTGATTTGATTTGATTTGGTCAGGGAGGTGACCAAGAACCCGATGTTCAACTCTGACAGCGCTTCAGAGTTCCTCTGTGGAGATGGGAGAAACTTCCAGAAGGACAACCATCTCTGCTGCACTCCACCAATCAGGCCTTTATGGTAGAGTGGCCAGACGGAAGCCACTCCTCAGTAAATGGCACATGACGGCCCGCTTGGAATTTGCCTAAAGGACTCTCAGACCATGAGAAACAAGATTTTCTGGTCTGATGAAACCAAGATTGAACTCTTTCGCCTGAATACCAAGCGTCACGTCTGGAGGCAACCTGGCACCATGCCTACGGTGAAGCATGGTGGCAGCATCATACTGTGGGGATGTTTTTCAGGGGCAGGCATTGGGAGACTAGTCAGGATCGAGGGAAAGATTGATGGAGCAAAGTACAGAGAGATCCTTGATGAAAACCTGCTCCAGAGCGCTCAGGACCTCAGACTGGGGAGAAGGTTCACCTTCCAACAGCACAACGACATTAAGCACACAGCCAAGATAATGCAGGAGTGGCTTCCGGACAAGTCTCTGAATGAAGTGGCCCAGCCAGAGCCCGGACTTGAACTCGATCAAACATCTCTGGAGAGACCAGAAAATAGCTGTGCAGCGACGCTCCCCATCCAACCTGACAGAGCTTGAGAGGATCTGCAGAGAAGAATGGGAGAAACTCCTCAAATACAAGTGTGCCAAGCTTGTAGCTGTAGCGGGTGATTTGGACGGAGTCAGGCGCAGGAGGGGTAAATCACAGAATAATGGTTTATTCGGCCAATACAGCGGTTCGCAGCAATGCGTAAAACTACAGTGCGGTATAACGGACTGGAGAAAAACAAAACACAAGGGTGAATATCCCGGCGATACAGTACATAAAGCTCCACCGAGCTATCGACACCTCCACATGAAACAATCACACACAAAGACATGGGGGGCAGAGGGAATACTTATACAGGGACTGATGAGGGGATTTGAACCAGGTGTGTATAAAAAACAAGACAAAACAAATGGAATGATGAGATGAGGAGCGGCAGTGGCTAGAAGGCCGGTGACGACGAACGCTGAAGCCTGCCCGAACAAGGAGAGGAGGCAGCATCGGAGGAAGTCGTGAAAGTAGCATCATACCCAAGAAGACTCGAGGCTGTAATCACTGCCAAAGGTGCTTCAACAAAGTACTGAGTAAAGGGTCTGAATACTTACATTTGCAAAAATTTCTAAAAACCTGTTTTTGCTCTGTCATTATGTGGTATTATGTGTAGATTGATTAGGGGGAAAAAACAATTTAATACATTTTAGAATAAGGCTGTAATGTAACAAAATGTGGAAAAAGTCAAGGGGTCTGAATACTTTCCAAATGCACTGTATGTCTTTTCTGAGACTCATATGACACCAGTTACAGTAAAGCATGAGGAAAGTAAAGATTAAACGTCGATGATAATCACTGTATAGAAAATATTGAATTGACAATTGCAAACAACAACTGTCTTGGAGTTCAATAGTTTATAAGCATAATTGTTTTAACATTGTCAGTAGCTAAACTCAAAATAAAGCTTTTTTGCTCATGAAAAGGAGAGCATCAACCCCACCAAGAAGAGCTGAATAAGAGCAACAAACTATTGCTATTCAGATCAAATAGAATCTTGCACTTTAACTGATGTATAGTTGGCTGGTTAGGTTATCAATGTGACAATGAGGTTACAAATAATTAATGACACATGATAACAAGGCTAATATTCTTTGTAAACAGTTGATGAAAGAGTTGCTGATTTCCGGTCCTTGATCATGTTTGATACTATTTATGGGAAAGCTATAGAGCTTCTGTCAACACCATGACTCATAAAATAAAGTGTAGACTGAAATAGCCATGGATCATGTTTACCTTCTCAGAAAATCACAACAACCTATAGGCAAATTAGCCTACTAAATGGGTCATAATGTTTAGGCCTACTTTATAACACGTATCATAATATTCTGTATTTGTGAAATAAGTGGGTAAGTGGAATAGAAAAGTGAATCTCCATACAAGCTAAACTACAAAATGATTATTTCAGACTTCAGACATAGAAATACATAACTTTCTGATGTTCAAGCAAAATATAAAATAAAAGTCAAGTAGAGAAGAGAACAGAAAAGAAAGGCTGTAAAAAAACATTGGTCAAAATCTGTAGCCTAAAGAGAGAAATAAATAACGGATTCATGAATATGCCCAAAATGGATGATTGACCTCACCTTGTTATTAATTTCGGGAAACATGTTGCTTTGACACCTGGGTCCTTAGTAAATCCCAACCTCAATGTAGCCTACACGTGAAAGTAACTACTGTAAAATCCAGGTAAATGCAAGGCGCCAGCACATTTTCGAAAGTCCAGACGTCACTTTCATATTCTCTGACACTTGGAGAAAAAAACGTCAGCAACGAAAGTCCAACCGAGGAGCGACTGTCACTTGAATCAACACGAATTGATCGGGTCCTGAATCTCAAACTGCGATAGACATAATCTTGACGATAGGGTCAGTATTGGTGTTGTCAGCAGGAGATTAGAGAAAGAGGCAAGCTGTTAGTCTATTCACCTTGACGCGTAAATCTCTGGAGAGGCCACCTGTTCAGGTGTCTGCATCTGACAGCTGGGTCTCCCCGATATAGATTTGTTTTTGGCTACTTATCGTCCCCTACATTCGACCGACACTCCTAAAATCCAATAGTGCTCGGTGAGTGTGCGCCATTGCGCGCATTACTATACAGTAGCTAATATAGCCTACTGCTGAGGCACTGTGCATAAATCGCACAGTGTATCCCTGTGGATAGCCTATACTGACAGTCGCAGTACTGAGCTCCTCACATTGCAGGAAATGGTCGTGTGATGTGTTGAGAGATGATGCTGTCTCTAAAAATAACCTATTTACCATCCACAGACCCTTTGCTACACAATTTATAGGTTGGACTAGGCCTATATGACAAATAAAGACTCTGTATTGAGGGGGGTAGACACTCTTTTTTGTAAACAGATGTTAAAGATTAATTCCCCCCTGTGACGTTTTGTCCCCTTTGACCTCACATGTGTTAAAAGTTTAAATTGTAGGTTTGCACTGGCAGACATAAACAATGGTAAAGGCTTGCTGGATTTTACCTCTCTCTCTCGCTCTGTCACACATGCACGCACACACACAAATAAAGACGGATGCAACACATAAAGGTAGCATATATTATATAATACCTGCCTTCTCGTAATGCACAGCTTGTTTTATAATAGGTTATACAACTTGATCATCAGTATGAGTAGTCCTATGCTGCAATGGATGATTATTATGTACCAGCACAATACAATTACCTCAACTCATGCTGACCCGAGAAACAGCACCAGGCATCCTTCACACCCGAACATCAATGATGTACACTACCAGTCAAAAGTTTGGACACACCTACTCATTCAATGTTTTTTCTTTATTTTTACTATTTTTTACATTGTAGAATAATAGTGAAGACATCAAAACAATGAAATAACACATATGGAATCATGTAGTAACCAAAAAAGTGTTAAACAAATCAAAATATATTTTATATTTGAGATTCTTCAAATAGCCACCCTTTGCCTTGATGACAGCTTTGCACACTCTTGGCATTCTCTCAACCAGCTTCATTAGGTAGTCACCTGGAATTAATTTCAATTAACAGGTGTGCCTTCTTAAAAGTAAATTTGTGGAATTGATTTCCTTCTAAATGTGTTTGAGCCAATCAGTTGTGTTGTGACAAGGTAGGGGGGGTATACAGAAGATAGCCCTATTTGGTAAAAGACCAAGTCTATATTATAGTAAGAACAGCTCAAATAAGCAAAGAGAAATGACAGCCCATCATTTAAGACACGAAGGTCAGTCAATACGGAATATTTCAAGAACTTTGAAAGTTTCTTCAAGTGCAGTCGTAAAAACCATCAAGCGCTATCATGAAACTGGCCACCACAGGAATGGAAGACCTAGAGTTACCTCTGCTGCAGAGGATAAGTTCATTAGAGTTACCAGCCTCAGAAATTGCATCCCAAATAAATGCTTCGCAGAGTTCACGTCACAGACACATCTCAACATCAACTGTTCAGATGGGACTGTGTGAATCAGGCCTTCATGGTCGAATTGCTGCAAAGAAACCACTACTAAAGGACACCAATAAGAAGAGACCTGATTGGGCCAAGAAACACGAGCAATGGACATTAGACCGGTGGAAATTTGTCCTTTGGTCTGGAGTCCAAATTGGAGAATTTTGGTTCCAACCACTGTGTCTTTGTGAGACGCGGTGTGGGTGAACGGAAGATCTCCACATGTGTAGTTCCCACCGTAAAGCATGGAGGAGGAGGTGTTATGGTGTGGGGGTGCTTTGCTGGTGACACTGTCTGTGATTTATTTAGAATGCAAGGAACACTTAACCAGCATGGCTACCACAGCATTCTGCAGCGATGCACCATCCCATCTGGTTTGGGCTTAGTGGGAGTATCATTTGTTTTTCAACAGGACAATGAGCCAACACACCTCCAGGATGTGTAAGGGCTATTTTACCAAGAAGGAGAGTGATGGAGTGCTGCATCATCCTGGCCTCCACAATCCCCCGACCTCAACCCAATTGAGATGGTTTGGGATGAGTCGAACAGCAGAGTGAAGGAAAAGCAGCCAACAAGTGCTAAGCATATGTGGGAACTCCTTCAAGACTGTTGGAAAAGCATTCCAGGTGAAGCTGGTTGAGAGAATGGCAAAAGAGTGTGCAAAGCTGTCATCAAGGCAAAGGGTGGCTATTTGAAGAATCTCAAATATAACATATTTTCTGATTTGTTTAACACTTTTTTGGTTACTACATGATTCCATATGTGTTATTTCATAGTTTTGATGTCTTCACTATTATTCTACAATGTAGAAAATAGTAACAAATAAAGAAAAACCCTTGAATGAGTTGGTGTGTCCAAACTTTTGACTGGTACTGTAAGTGTAAGATGATTTTCCATTGTAACACGGGACGAAGACGGAATGACTAATCACAGACAAGGTGAGGCGGGTGAAAACAAAATCCATCCCCTTGCAAAATGAGGAAGCCTGGAGTAAAGCTGCAGATTATTTAGTTGAATGTGATTATAGAGTGGCTGTTATGCAACAACACAAGGGCTCTCCAGTAATCAGACAGGACTATATGAGATGATCTGTCCCTGATGGAGAGTAGTCCTTCAGCAGGTCTACTACAGTGCATTTGGAAATTATTCAGACAGCTTCCCTTTTTCCACTTTTTCCACATTTGGGATGTTGTCGTCAGTGGTTGCTTTTTCACTATGCTTTTTAAAACATACGTGTACATCTATTGATATCCCAATGTATGCAGTCTCCTTTCCAAGGCAGTAAGACTGATTTCCCCCTGAGTATGCTAGCATGGTCCCAGAAATGTTGTCCTCCAGAGAAATTACCACTGTTCTGTCAAAATATGCCTCCTACACATCTAAAACTAAACTTCTATCTCCTATCAGTATAAAAACTTAGAACAGCACAGGAGTTCTCTGATCAATAGGACTGAAAAGTACAAATCTCACATATTGGTTATGATGAGACAGATTTATATTGGTTATAACTAGCTTACACATCAGACAATAATCATTTGACCAGGATCCTTGCACAGCTCCCGTTGTCAGCCAAATAATAAAACAATACTTGAATCACAGCACAAAAAATCTACAAAAATCCACACTGGCAGATAATGATGAGATAAGCTAGAGCGAGGCTGCAGTGTCTTCTCCTATTTCAGCACTGTGGTCGTTATCTCCTGTAATCAAACACCCCTGTTCAAGCACTTCTGTCCACCAACACACTTCCCCCCTCCCCCGTCCACCTCATCATCTCAGCCCCTTCCTAAAATGTCTTCCTTTGCCCAGTTCAAAATCCCTACTTATTGCCTGACAATAAGTAGACAAATGGAGTCCATAAAATAACTCAAATTAACTACAGTTAATTTGCAATGGTTTGAGCTGAAGCGTTACAATTTTCTAGTAATAAAACTAAAAGTGCCATGTGTTGCTCAACAATGTAAAAAATGAAGGATGGGAGAAGAATAAACTGAACAACAGATGATTCTGTCAATGTCTCAGTCAGTAACAGAAAGGATGTTAATGTTGTTAATTATCAAACACCAAGTAAACAAGCCACTTTTAGATCTGCCAGAGTCCACAGGGGAGACAGACACAGTCATTATGCAGTCTTCTATCACCCAGGTGACTAAGTACGGTTTAGTGACGCATAGCTAGCTAAAGCAGATCAAGTCACTGTGCAATTTCTTGGAAACTGCATTTCCTGTCATAATCACTGGAAATTTGCCAAATGTATAACATAACATATCATTCACCAGAGTTTCATTTACTTGTGTTGCTAAGCAAATGATCACTAGTGCCTCGACTGAAAATAGCACCATATCAAAACAGAAAGCAAGCCTGAGAAAAGAGATTGAGTTATAAAGATGAAGTGATTGAGGAAAAGAGAGCCTCAGTTGACCATCTAAAGTTTACCCACCGACGTAACTCCCTCTGTACCATGAATTACCTCATGTACCTCAGGCTGGACCCTCCTGTTCCCGCAGCCCTGACTGCCCCAGCAGCCCTGGAGGAGGTTAAAGCCACAGCAGGCAGGCGAGGTCTCGTCTCCCCCCATAATGAAGCTCCTCCATGCTGCCACACCTCAGCCCCACCACACCCAACTGGAGGGGGCTTTTTTAGAGATTAAGGTCAGACCACCCCAGAGCAGAGGGAGGATGCTGTTCCTTGAGACCCGTTTTACAAAACCTTCTTCCTTGTCTTCGCAACACTGGTAATGTAGATGTTTTTGTAGCACTCCTTAATAAGTCTTCCTCTGGTAGTTCACATGGTGGAACAGGTGGAACAGAAGCTGGACTGAGCAGGGTGGTTCGCTGTATCATCTGTATCAGCCCTCGCAGAGCCTGGGCTTCTCTCTGGTCCAGGAGACAGATGGGCAGGCAGGCAGGCTCACAGACAGGGAAAGGAGGCTGCTGCTGCTGCTGTGCTTGGTGAGGGAGGAGGAGGCTGATGTGTGGAGGGGGCTCGATGAGGCACCCATCCTGAACCGGAGATGCAGCAGCAGGGGCCTGGCACTGGCTTCCTGTGAGAAGGGCCTCTTGGGGAGGAGGAGTGCAGGTGACAGATCCCTCTCCCTTCATGGGGCTGTGGAGTCAGATAGAGGCGCAGGCAGAGCATTAATAGAGTTCCCAGGCGGCCCGGCTGACGCCTCTCCCTGCTGCGGTCTCCTGGAGACAGAACCACTAGAGCTGTCATATTTCCCCCTTCACCACCTGCTCTGCTGCAAGCCCCACGGGATACCACCGCCTTGCTGACAAACAGCGCAGTGATGAAATCTTATCCTGGTGCCTGCCACGCTGCCAGCCTCCACTGCAGCAGCTGGAGGCTCCACAGTCCACACCAGGACAGAGCACAGAGGAACTCAGAGGATGACTGGTGGGGCTTTTTAAAGGCAGGAGGTTAGGGGCACTAGGTCTAAACTAACCTTAATGTTACTGAAGATGGACGATAGGTCTACAGGTAAGAAACTCTGTGAACTTATGACATCACACTCAGAATATCTGAGTTATATTTTACCACATCACTTCTAAGGCCTATAATCTAGGCCTCACTTTAGTTTGCAGTTGTTTTAGCATGCTGTTGTGTATGTGGGTCTCTCAACTGACATTCATGACAGCTTGCCTCGCAAAGGAGCCAACCTTAGGAGACTTATCTTGATACATTTTGTCTCTGCATGCTTGCAATGAGTAATGTGTCTTTCATGGTCAAAACGTATGTCTGTGACTATGTCAATCAAACTATAGCTATTGTTGCATGAAAAAGGTGCTATTCCCTACTAACATCATCAGGCATTCTGGAGCAGTACCCAAGTGTCACCCAAGGCTGCCACTGTCTGTGTTTCCTCCTCACGCAGCCTCACACAGCTTTATCAAACAGGAACACTTGAACAGACTGCTAGACTCCCAGGGCCCCCAGATCGCTGGGGTTTATAGGCGGGAGCTCACAATTAGTCAGTCGGTCAGTAAGTAAGCCAAGCAGGGAGGGGACTCATGGGAGGGGAGGGAGTGAACAGCTTTGAAATTATTATATTTCTATGTTGAACAGAAGGCAGGCAGGGGCTAGCTGGCCAAACCTCAGACTCAGAGCCAGAGGCCCTGACCTGCAGCCTGTCGTGGCTCCCTAATAGGAGTCAGGTGCCAGGCGATTGAGGCGAAGTGAGCGAGCCGCCGCCAGGTGACAAAGCGCAGTCAGTCTCCTGACGCTTGGCAGAAGAGGAGTCTGGGTAATGACCTGGCTGGCAGGCACGCTGCAGCATCTGCAGTTTAGTCAGCGAGCAAAGCGACAACATGGCTCGGGGGGAGAGATGTGGGTCACGTTTACAGGTGATTATAAGGTTGCCCCTTTTACAGAATTGTTTATGGCACCAGTGTGAGGATTAGTTACCAGATACACACCACTATGAATTTGTGAGGCACATCGGAAATGAGGAGAGGAACTCAATGAAATCAACATGTAAAACACTTTGAGTGACTACTGAAAAGTGTCATGTAAATGTTATCCATTATTTTTATCATCAAGTATTTATCCATGAAAAGTTTTATACCATGCCCATCTATAACAACTTATGTAGAGTCCCCTGACATCTTTAGTAGAGTACCTAGCTGGCATGATGTTATCAAGATGAGTAGCTGACAGCATGTTACAAAGTCATTTCAATCACCATAACCTCTCTATTTATAGGTCAGTTTTATTCATGTCCATAAAACCAATGTGGCCCTGTGGTCAGAATGTCGTTTGTCAGAGTAGCTGTGGAATAATCAGGCTCAGGCCAAATCCCATTAGTTATGTGAGGAGCCTTTCACATTCTTGGCAGGGAAGGCCAACGCTGGTCTCCTAGCAAAAACAAAGGTTTCACCCAGAAAGACCAAATTGGAGGGAAAGTAGGCTAATGTATTAAAGGATAAATACACTGTATGTGAGCTAACAGAGACATAAGCAGCGTTGGGCTTTTGATTACACATAACAAATAACTGTGCAGAGTTAAGTAAAACTTTGAGAGAATATTATAATCAATACTATTACTCTCTCTGGCTGTTTAGGCCTATAATATCTTATTCCAGGTGTTTAAGTGCTCCATAACGGGGGTGGGCAGAGTGGACCAGTGGCCTAGTCCCTCACTGTAGCGTCAATAATGTGTGATATCAGGGCCAGCCATCTGGACTGGGCCACCAACACACATACCTCATATAAAAACCTAATGTAAGAAAGATCAGAACCTCAGAGTGGATAGATGCCAACTATAGACAACATGGCACACATTCTACTGTATAGGGAGCACCTTCGTCTGGCCTGGTTTAGGGGATGAGTGTACTTTAGAATTACAGCATTGTCTTGTTTTATTTCCTTTGTCCCCTGCCAGAATCCTTCAAAACCAAATCCCCAGCCTACTACGAGCCACCACCTTACCCTACATGATCACAATGAGCAGTGTGTCAGACTATCTATGGTCTGACCCGGAACAGGAGAGAGCATTCTCAGGATCACGTTATAAATATAATGAGTAACTCCTAATGCAGTATCCACGCCGTTTACAGTCATTATCATGACCGTACTCTGCATCCTGCCAACTTGCCTTTTGATGACCCTGGGCAATGCAAACAATACACAGTATCAAGAATATACCAGACAGACCGATATGGTACAGAAACCATATCCATACCCTTGCTCTCAGCAGAGAAGCTTCAGCAGTACAATGAGAACCAATCAATATCAGCAACATTGTGCTGGCCAAATTTGATTTAGTCAGATTTAGTCCATTCATTCATCTATCTTGTCTTTGCCATGCCCCTACTAAACTGCACTCTAAAAATATACCTGAATACAACAGGAGTTTTTCAGTGCGGGGAAAATGACCGCCAGCTGAGCGCAATTAAGGAAATGCAGGTAAGGATGTTAATGTGATGGGATTATGGTAGGTGGACGGCTGTGGTCACGATAGGAGGCCTACAGTAAGTACTAGACTGTGCAATAGGAAAAGGAATGCAATAGGCTACACTGTAAGCCTTCTGAGAGAGAATGTATTTTGTTAGTTCTGTATTGCATTAAAGAAACCCTGCAATCTCAACACTGCTTGTTTTGTCCACCAAAATATGCACACACACACACACAAACAGTAATTTTACAAGGCAAAGATCAAGTGTACTGTAGGTACAGCATTGTATGTTCTTTCAATTTATTATACTTAAAATAAGCAAAATGGATCAATAGTGCCATCATGTGCAGAGTAGCAATACATATTGGAATGTATTTTTTCAAACAAAACAACCTATTTAATGAGCTCAGAGGCACTATTTCCTGCCGATCAGCTACTGTACAGTATTATCCTGAACTGGAGCAGACTGCAATGCTGTTGCCTTCTCGATGCCAAATGTCACACTGCTTGAAGCAGCATGAGCAGTACATACCGCAGGAGGTCAGTAGCTCCCTGGAGGTCTTACCTCATCATCACCCCCGTCCTCACCCAGAGTCTGCTGTCCCTCCTGGGCATGTGAACCAGCCCATGGCCCCATGTCCAGCTCCGGTTGCTCCAGAGAGAGTGAGAGGTGGCAGGGGAAAGCAGGTAAGATGGACCCCAGGAGCACTGGCTCCCTGTCTCCAGGTAAATGGCTCAGACTAAGGTCTAAAGCTGGGGTGAGGGGTGGCAGGGCGGAGTGAGGTGGGGAGGTTGAAGACACTAGCAGCATTGTTGGATAGTTCTAAATAAAACCTACTGTATCATGTGAGGCTTGCCACTGGTGGTGACCTGGCTGCCCCAGACAGAGCACCTAGCTGAGCCAGGAACCTGAGGATGGAGCAGTGAGTGATGATGGCCTAGTGTCCCTCTGTATGGCCCTGGACCAAGTCCTCTGATGGATGCCCTGAAAGGCTTTGGCGCCACAGATATTAGGGGACCAAGATAGTTCATTATTGTACATTGGAATTGTGCGTGTCTGATGTGCAAATTGACAATAAGGAATCTGTTGACAATAGGATGAGTTACTGTGTAGTGAGTGACCCATTGGTCATCATAGCCTCCTGTGCCAGCCTGTACCATTTTGGGCCGTTCTCCATGGCCCAGGAGAGGTGACAAGCAGAGGAGCACTGTGTAACCCAGGTAAGACAAGCGTCATGATGTCACCGCCAGCCCGTCTTTCACGTGTAAGAACTCACACAACCCTGTCACCTTCCACAACAAACTTCGTAAGGTGATCCCCTTAACCCCTTTTGTCACAGACTGGACACATAAGGTGTATTCCAAAACCAGTGAGACACGAACAATAAGCTCCCTTCAAATTAGAACAATTACAGAACAATTACCACAAATGGGGGAATTAACCCGATGACATCATGTGTCAATGTACTATGGGAATGTACACTTGTTATCTCATTGGCCAAAAGCCGCCAAACACAAGGGCTGTTCCAAAGCGTGTAATCAAATCACATTGATATCCGGGTCTTTGACAGAGATACCTTCACAGAGACACCATGGCTTCCTTTATCAAATGGGGTTCAGATGTAATCTAGTAAGGCTCCATTCAGGCCTGGCTCATAAGGCAAACATAGCCATATGGAGCCCCA